TAAATTATAAGTATATTTATGATAATTTTCCAGGCACATTTGCCTGGAAAAGCTTACAGTTTAAGGGATAATACGAAAAGCAAAAATATATTATTGAAAATTTAGATAATTTTGAAAATAGTTAAAATAATAACTTTCAGAGTTATGATGACTTTCAGAGTTATGATGATTTTCAAAATTACAATAATTTTCAAAGTTATAATGATTATGAAACTGATAAAAATAGTAGAAAAAATTCACCTACAGTATTGGTTATTGAAAGTCGTAAAAAAAAGAAGAAAAAAAAAGAAAGAATAAATCTGAATTCATGATATCAGATAGTTTTAAAAAGTTTACAAATATGTATGAGAATATAGTAAATAATAAAAAGTGGCATCTCTCTACAGAGAAGGTAATAGAGAATGTTCTCTATGATTTTGCAAGTAAATGTTCATATGAACAGTATATATTTCTGTATTTTATATACAATTTTTAATCTTGATATCGTAATCTATAATTTCATACTATGAAATTTCTTGGAATTTCAAAGTGCTTTGTATAGCTTTATAATCGATCTAACTGACAAGCTATATTTGGATAATGACATTTTCACCAAGAAAGAGTTAAGAGAAATTGAAACATACAAAAGGCATAGCTTGCCAGAAATTTCAGATGATCTTTTTACTTATCTAATAATATTTGCAATGGTAGGTATATTAATACAAAATGAATAGATTTATAATTATATATATACATATACATTATTTACTAATATATAATATTTGCATATTCTCAAAAAGAAAACATTACATGAATTAAGACATGCAATAGATCAACCTATTAAATTTATACAAGGAGATTTTAATCCAGAAAAACATCATGATTATGATTAGATTAGATACATAATGTATACAATATATAGACTACATACAAGTACCCTTATGTCAAAAAAATCTTGAGCTGCTGACCAAAAAAATATGACTTCAAAAACTTTTACTTAAAAATCAGAAGTTAGTTGTTATAGTAAATTTTTGTAATATTTACAATTTCTTATGTTTTTTTTATTATGCAAGATCCTGTAATTTTACTGGATATGATTCAAAAATGTTAGGATCAAAAGTGATTTTTAGCCCAGAATTTTCTTGACATAAGAGACTTATGAACTATGCTAACGATAATTTTATAGAAAAGTGAGTTTTTGGTTTAAATATTGTTATATAAATTTATATTAGTTTTATAGTATATAGGAGTATAAGATAGGATCACTTAAAAAAAATCACCTCGAACAGTAGTATAATATGCACCTCTGGTATGCTATTATCGATAGATGTTTCACTAATATTAGTGAGATAAATCTGATTTGGTATATGTTAATTTAAATATAGACGAGATTTTAAATAAAAAATATTTTTAATATTAATTGTATAGTTGCGAGTTCTGTAGTATTGCCTTTGGCATACGGAAGAATGCTAATTATATCATGCCTAGAATCGATAAAATGGAAAGACATAAGGTTAGTCGAAAGGAAGATCTTGTTTTAAAGACGTCATCAGATCTGGAATTCAGTAGTGGAGAAGCTAAGAAGATTTATAAAACTAATAAAAAAACAAAGTGGTTTGTAGAAAGCAGGCTTAAACTGCCAAAATTATTAAAGAATATGCTTGTACAATTGGCAAGCGAAGTTGAATAGTTGACAGCAGTTTTACGTAATTTGACAACATAGTTTCGTACATACAGGTTAGTGATGAATTTTTTTTGACATTTATTTCAGATTTTTGATACCTTACTTTATTGCTTGTTGTTTTAAAGATTATAAACAAATGTTACTAGAATTAGATTGTCCCAAAGGATATATATATCATTTAAGCTATAGTAACGTCTACAGAGTCATTGACTTCATTATCACACACATTATTGAAACTCTGCCACTAATTATAACAACTTGAAGAGCTAAGATGGATGATGTGAATACTTTAGTTATATAGCTTTACTTATTTTTGTGTCAGTAATACTAATTTTTTAAAAAAAAAACAGCAAATTGGTAGTTTAAGTTTGGGTTAGCTCAATATAGAGTCCAAACATATACAAAAGATAACAAGTAAAAATAGCAGAAATACTTGGTCTAAACCACTCTTGACACACTATTAAAATATCAAAAATTTTGTATATATTAACTGACAGTTTATATTTCTATATTTTCTAATACTAATACTTTAACAAATTTCTATTTTTTTTTTGTATATATATTACTGGCACAAATAGGTAAATCCAACTCAGATTGGCTGTATAATGTATATTGCTACTAATTTACGTTTGTGAATTTTGATAGGCAGCTATTTGTGATTGCGTTAGTAAAGTTCAGAGGCGTTTAATTAAAGTTAAAGAAGAAAAAGTATTAAAATTTATATGATGTGCTGGACCAAAAATGTTTTCA